TAAGTAGCATTTTTGCCTCTTTCCCAATAGATATACTAAAAGTGAGAGCTGAGGGAAAATTCTATTTCCATTGGACAAAAAATTAACCAGTTCTACACTCCTTAAAATATGACTCGTTAATGTCAAGAAAAAAATCAAGCGCTGTTCATAACTATTTTCAGTCTAATACTATAGCAAGTTTTCAATAATAGGGCTGTATTTTCAATAAGCTGAAAAATGAATAGTTTTATAAAATTATCCTTAAGGATAATTATCCTTAAGAATCATTATCAGGAAAAGTAGAATTAAGATATAATTTCTAGCATGTTTGTATTATAATGTATTACCCTGGATTCTATATTTCATAAATGTGCGTAATTTTACTATGGGAATCGTCCAATAGCATCCTAAGATTTTTAACAATGCTGTATCTTTATCATTTTTTTTCTCCAAAGTTCAGGATAGTTTTAGAGGTTTATATTGTATTAGGACAGATGTATGCTTAACAGGTGATTTTTCTGAATTAAAATCAGGAAAGTAAAAGTTTAAAAAAAATCAAAAGGTCCACAATGTTCCTACTGCATACTAACATCTGATGACTCCACTGTATTAAACATACCAACCAACCAACCAGAAAACAAAATTTGCAAATTCAACTGCCAATATTTGTTAAGTGCCATTATCTAGTTCAATATTATTTAAGGATGGAGATGCAAAGGCAGACTATCTAGCAATAGCATTAGCACTTAGATTTATATACCACCCATAGTGCTTTACAGCACTCTCTGGGTGGTTTACAACATCAGCATATTGCCCCCAACAATTTGGGTCCTAATTTGGGTCACCTCGGAAGGATGGAAGACTGAATCAACCTTGAGCCTGTCAGAATCAAACTTTAGCCCATTGGCAGAGTTAGCCTACAATACTGCATTCTAACCTCTGCACTACCAGGGCTCCTTGTGAGTTTCCATTATAAATCTTACTATAAAATATGATATAGTATCTACTGGGTAATTAATATATTTTAGGATGTGGCTAACAAACCTTGTAGGAAGCAAAAATATATCTTTTTCAGTTAGCTGAAGCTTGAGATGATAATATATTATACTATAGATTATGTGATGTTGTCCTACTTGCTTGTAAATAAATTAGTACCGTGTTACCCGGGTACTAATTAGTACCCGGGGATGTCTTATTTGGGCGGAAACAGGGTAATTCCAACTTTACATTTCAATAATTTGAAATATATTCTACTATAATACATTTAGAATTGTATTGAATTTAATTTTACACGTTTGGTTCACTTAAAATTTTCCTTACTTTAGTGGTATGTTCAGTTCTGAAGTAATAGTTAAAATAATCATTATGTTGACTCAATGAAAAAGTTTTGTGTAGCTCCTGTGAGACATATTACTCGCAGATGGTATTGCCAAATGTCATGAGATTTCATTGTTTCTTTCTTGCCTGAAAACTCACTTCAATGATTTTGATCAAGAATGTTGATCGGCAATCTGATGACTTTTCAACTGTTTTTAAAACTAGATTTAACCTTAATTTTCATTACAATGCCTCCCCCACCCCAGCCCATGTTTAATGGTGCCTGCTTTAAGCTTATGCTCTTATAACTCTGTTTGATATTTCTTTGAAGAAAAATAGATGTTTCAGTTACCAGACTAATATATTCAAAATAGTTTTAAAAAATGAAAGTATCCTGCCTTAACATTCCAGTGTCTGATCAATATATTTTAAAAATGTATATATTGACAAACAACTGCCAAAATCATTAGAACTTTTAGAACTTTTAGAAGATTGAGCAGTAAATCAAAAGTGTTTCACATCTTTTAAGTGGCTGTGAGAAACATAATTTATGTACAGTCTCTTGGGCATGCAAATATGAGATGTTGTTCTTGCACAGCTGCTGTAGAAATTGTTCTCCGCTGTGGCTGCATATATGCGCATACATAGGAACTTCACTTCAATATTCTAGCAAAGTGGCTGCACGTGTAATTGTGGAAGCTTTGCAAATAAACGAGTTGCTTGAACAGTTTTGAAGGAAATGTTTTGTACACACTTCTATATATTGTAACACATTCCTTTCAATCAAAAGCTTTGCAAAGCATAACATAAACAAAGATGAAGTTTCATTCATTCAAAACATAAGATTGAATTATCAGATAATTCTATTGAATAGAATTATACCTACCTATTGGCACTGTATATTCCTAAAGAAAACTATGAATTTCCTAGTTAAATTTATCAGGATATATAAGCTAGTAGCACTTATCGGCTTGAGATCTTCACTTCTTTACACTCATTATCTTTTGTCTTTATCTTTTTATGTTTTATTGATTTTATTGTAATTTCTGTGTTTGATTGCTGTGAGCAGCTCAGAGTCACTGAGAGTCAGACAGCATAAAAATTTAATACATTATGCTTGGTTGCATGCCAGATGTTTAGATTGGATTTGGCATTTTCATCCACCCATCAAGCTTCCCAAGAACCTGGCATAGGCAGATGTTATTGTTTGATGGTTTTAAATGTATTGTTGTACTCCATTTGTTTTGGGATTGTATCCAAGATGTCTATAACTATTGGTACTATCTTTGATTCTTTTGATAGACCTTCTACTTATACATGCAAGTCTTTATATTTTGACTTTCTCCTTTCAGTTCTTATGTCTCCAGATAGTGGCACATCCATTATCCAGATCTTGTCTATTTGTGACCTCATCAGTTCTTACTTGCAGGCAAATGGATCTATTTCAGATATTCCATTGCAAATTCTTGGGACTTTGTCATACTATTATTTGTATTATTCTGTGTGATCTTCTTAAAGCAGCTACCTGGGTTCTATAACTATTTCTTCAGTTTCTTTGCAGGGACAGCATTTGCTGTCTTCTCAATTCTGCCTTGGTACGAATTTGTTTTTAAGGGTGTTATTAAGTATTATTATTATTTAAATGCTAAGATCATTCTGTTAACCATCTATGATGTAGTGTAAATTGCAGAAGAGCATAAGAGAGCTTTTCTATTAGAAATGTTATAAAGATTCTCAGACTAATTAACATGTGTTGCTGTTTCTTATACTTTTTCAATGACATTATTTTGCCATCTTGATTCTAGAATCAATATTGTTCCACAAACGGAAGTAGAAAAGCCAAATACTTGTGAATCAGCTAGGAATAAGAATATGCTTTGGAGATGGCAGAGGGCTGCTCATTTCTTAAAGAAATTGTCAGGAACATTCTGAAATTCTGCTTTTTATCCACTCTCCTCTAAAATCTTTGTCCAGAAAATTACAGAACCCTCCAAAATTATGTGAAAAAGAAAGAGATAAAGAAAATTGCTGCCTATTCTTTCATCATTTGGTTTCATCAACCAAATTTTGGTTACCAGTATGAAATTAAGATTTCTAACTGCACGATTCTAGATGAAATTAGAGCGATGAAAACCATTTATTCCAAATTTATTTTTTGGGCTGTGTTAAATTGTTAAGTAAACAATTTTTTTTCACAGCAAATATGTGTATATAATAATGAAGTCTATTACTATGGCTGTTAAAATAGTTCTCAGTCAAACACCTCACATATTTAAGTTATTTACAAAAATGTCAAAAAGATGAATGCAAAAATGGACATATTGAAAAGTTTGTCTATTAAATGGCATATTAGAGAAATATTTATTTAAAACAAAGCAGTACTTTTAAAATTGGAAGGTAAATGTAATTGTACATTTGTACAGAATGAAAAGTTGGATATATATGACAAATAAATAAATAAATAAACATTGATCCATACATTCATATATGAAATCCTTGTAATTTTTTTTTCTGAAATAATTGAAATTATATATAGACTAGGACAGAAGAGACTCATGTTCAAATTTATTCTAAATCAAAGAAGTTCAGGGGTGACTTTAAGCCTTTCACTCATCCTTCACAGAAATAATCTCAAAAATTGTTGGATTGAAGACAAATGGATGGCACACTGCTGTCCTGTAAAAAAGGTAGGATACAGATCTAATACCCTGTTTCCCCCAAAATAAGACATCCCCTGATAATAAACCCAATCGGGCTTTTGAGTGCATGGCAATAAGGCCAAGTGCTTATTTCAGGGTTCAAAAAAATTGAAGACAGCCTTGGTAGTACAGGGGTTTAAGGCACCCTGTTATTAAGCTTATTAAGATCAGCTGCCTGCAATTACTGCAGGGTTCGAATCTTGCCAAGGCTCAAGGTTGACTCAGCCTTCCATCCTTTCTAAGGTAGGTGAAATGAGGACCCAGTTTGTGGGGGCAATAAGCTGACTTTGTATAAATATACAAAAGGATGAAGGCTATTGCTGAGCACATTGTAAGCCGCCCTGAGTCTTCGGAGAAGGGTGGCATATAAATCAAATTAATAAATAATAAATAAATAAATAATAATAATAAGACAGGGTCTTATTTTTGGGAAAACACGGTATTTAAAAAAACCTGAAATATTTAGATACTTTTCAGACATGCCTTTAAGTAGCAAGGTATAAACTAGGGCTTTTTGTGACAGATCAAGCAATTAACATATGCTTATCAAATTCTACATTTTTTCCCTATATAATCAAATCACAGTGTTATCACATAGCTAATTGGTTGTGGTTCTCAAAAGTATGCCTAGCCTGTAGATTTGCATCTTCACCAAACAATAAAGCTAGACCTTTATTTTATATGGGCCAAATTCATTTAATTATTTTTAAAAATTATTTTAACTTTTGTGTATAAATGTTTTTATTTTGGCTGTTTACCGTCCTGAGTCCGAAAGAAAAGGGCGGTATACAAAACTAATAAAAGATAAAAGAAAAGATAAAGATATATCTGTAGATGGTAGAGTTTCAGAAAAGCTGGGAATGCCTTTTTAAAAAGGGTAATAATACACACATAATAAGAGGAATATGTTCAATAATTCATAATCCAAGATTTCATTCCATATTCTGCATTCAGATCTGCATATCTTGTGGCTTGGAAAAAGCGCTATTACTTGTTTATACTAACCTGTATTTTGATTGGCCATGAAAAGTTGCTGACATATACATAGAAAGTGATATTTGGGTTGCTTCTGAAATTGAATTTTTCACAGGAAAAACTGTCCCTATATTCCTTGATATTAGTTTTCGAAACTACAGGAATCTCTTCTCCAGATATTGTTCCAGCTATTAAAAAATATACAAAGTCAATAAAAGATCATTTTAAAAATTGTTAAATTACATAATCCAAAAAGATGCATATTATATATGTGTGTAAGAAAGATATAAAAAGTATAATTTGACTGGCATTAAATATGTTAATGGAGCATAATATAGAAATGTAGCTAAATTATAAAAACCAAACAATTACACACCAAAAAAAAATCTGTCAGTATGTGAATGTATACACATATCCTATTACAAGTTTGTTTCAACCATACATAATGGAATTGTATTTATAGCAACTTTGTTTCATTTAACTTCATGGTTAATACAGTTTCCAGAAGTAATTTATACCTAGTAATTTATACTAAAATTGCAAAGTTATTCAAGTATAGAATTGTCTTGATTATGAAATATTGCTGTAGTTTTTCAACTGTTGCTAACAAAGATAGTATCAAACCAGATAAACTTATTTCATTTATAAGAAATGAGATTATTCAGCAATGCTATTTAATCTGTATATTGCTGAACTAGTAAAATCAGATAACAATTAATGTATGTATGTATGTATGTATGTATGTATGTATGTATGTATGTAGAACTCAGGAAAGGCAATGTAGGGGATTGAGTAGGAATGTATTTAGTAGAAGGAAAGTGTTTAGTAGAAGGGCTTATCCATCCTTTGGTGTCAGCCAGACATGAGATTGGGAAACATCCAATATTTATCAAGTTCCTAGTTTCGTATTAAATGCAATTAGGTATAACAATCTAGGAAGGGTCTTTCTTTCTTTAAAATTTGAGAGATGAGAGTAGCATATGCTTTTTTTGATATTAATATTCGCAAAACAAACACTATATTGTTTTATATTTATGTCTACATTCTAAATATTTAAATTACAGGCATAACCCGGTTCTTTAGAAATCATAATTTGGTGCCAGTACTATGCAGAAATGAAATTTTTGTACTGATTTTTATTGTAAGAAAAGCATTATATGGAAAAGGTATCCTTTGGTAAACTTATTGAAGAATAATCTTTGCCCTTTTTGAAACATTGATATCAGGTTTGATTTTACTGGCTTGTGCTAAAATTGATAGGTATTATGAATATCTTGTAATCCCAACACAGATATTTTTCGACATAATAGAGGTATATTTAACTTCAATTCAACACATGGAATTGATGGAATATCAGCCATCAATTACAGCATGATTGTAATGATATTTAACCACTTCACTGTCTTAAATGTTCTCGTGAGGTCCAGCATTTAAAAGGTTGACACCTGATCTATAAATCAGATAGACGTGGAATTTATTCTGGGAAGATTGGCACTATGTAATATGTGTAGTCATGATTCCTTTCCAAATATTGTGTTCTTCCTCAAATATATTTACAAAAATTGAAAAATACATGCAAATATATAATTGCAAAACCTTCAGTTTTACTCTGCATAATTCATTAAAATTCAATCAACGATGGTCTCCTTGAATATATTTTCCAAATGTCAACAGAACGAATGCAAGGAAACTTTCTAAACAAAGCTTTTTATTAAAAACCAATGAAAAACTAATGAAAAAAACTGGATCCAAAAGTTTGAGTGTGGGGGAAGGAACAGATGATAAGCATATTCTTTTATGAGAACACACAGAAGAATTTTCTTGTTTGATATCAATGTTAAGGTTAATAATTAAATTCCAAGCTTCAACACTGAAACAAAGAAATTAAAAACTCTGTCTCTGCTGTAGTCAAGGAAGTAATTTATCTTAATTAAAATCACTCTATTCATAATACTGCCACTATAAAATTTTAAAGAGCATACAAGGTTTTGTTACTCAAGTAATTTTAATTGAATAAGAAAGTTAACATGTTAATGAATCTTAATTTAATTTGCAAATTATCTGTTTTAAGTAATGTCATTAATAATGTCATAATGAGAATGGGAAAAGAATGTATTTTATTAACATTTACTAATAAGAAACAAAAAGCTATCATGTAAATATAGTGAGCACATTACTAAGTAAGATAATATTAAAAAGGAAAACTCCTAATAATGTCTTTCTTACCTGTAGAGCCAATAGACCATGTGATATTCAGGTTAAAGTTATTTGATGCATTAATTGATATGTCCAAATTTTTGTTTGACTAAAAATTTAAAAACAAAACATAAAAATTACATTAGAAACAGCTTAACCTTTGTTCATAGATAGTCAAACATAATATTAACTCTAAACACTATGGCCTTGATTCAGGAAAGAAAGTTCACCCATACAAAGCAACCTTCCCATTCCTACAGCTATCAACAGAAAATATCTCTACAGGTAAAGACAACTATTATATACAGCTGTTAGTAGAGAACCAAAATTTTCCAAAATCCAAAACTGTAATTTAAAAAAAGGGAGAAAAAAATTAAATTTGGAGAAAATTCGATTAAATGTTTTTTATCATTTTTATCATCTTTTAGCATTATGCAGTCATTTTATTATTTTGTAGGATGCACTATATGGCAATTTTATTAAAATATGCTTTATGTATACCTTTGAAGAAGTATAGCTTATGGTTTGAAATTTTTTAGAAGTGTTTAATACTGCATCTCCAAATCCTTAAACTTCAAGAAATGATGTCCAATAATTACAACAGATGTTAATTTTTGCTTCCTCAACAGGAAGTAGTATTAAAGTATTATATAAATAGACAACAGTTAAAGACTGAAAATATAAACACTGTACAAGGAGATGAAAACAATATTATTTTGGATCGGTAAAAAAATTCTTTTAGCGAAAGAAAGGAAAATAGTCTCAGAATACCCTTTGTGCCATAATGAAACACCGTCTAATCATTTTCAAATATTGTAATTTACTATCAGCAGTTAGTTTTTTTGATTATTTTATCCTTTAAAAACTTACCTAGAAATTTATTTATATGATTATTGTTGTTAATTTTTGAGTTATGGAGACTTCCTTGACTAGTACCTGCTATTTTCTTGGCAAGGTTTTTTGGAAATGGTTTGCCATTGCCTGCTTTCTAGGGCTGAGAGGCCCAGTGTTATCTGGTTGGCTTTGTGCCCAAGGCAAGATTAGAACTCACAAGTCCCTACTTTCTAGTCTAAAGCCTTACTCCCTACATAAAACTGGCTCTTAATGGTTTTATATTGGTTTATATTGTTTTAATTTTTTAACTTGCATTGATTTGCTGTTTTTATGGTCTTTTTTATTGTGAGCTGTCCAGAGCATATTTGAATAATGGGGAAAAGTGGTAATTGCTAATGTATAGAAATCAAAACCCTCGCCAACATGACACTAACTCCAGCAAAATAAATGCAACAGTTCATTCTCTCACTTGTATAGGACCCGATTAGGTTCAGTAGGTTTGGCAAGATCTGGCCTCTGACACAGAGAAATAATGGGATAGACTACAATACTCAAGCACCTAAAACTCTTATTCCTAGCACTGATAATGTCTTATTTTGTAAAGCAAATGAGTTTAATTACAAAAATAATAGAGTAGAATACTTCTTCATCCTACAAAAGTATAAGAAATAAAGACTTAGCCACCAATATGAAGTCTACGAAAGATTTTTTAAAATCTAAAATTTAACAATATTACAGATATATGTGGAGTTCTTTTTTCATATCTACATCATTTATTCTTATATGTTTTTATGACTGCTTCCAGAGCAGGAAGCATGACTGCTTCCAGAGCAGAAGCAGCTTGATTACTTAATCCTAACCATATGCTCGATAGACCAAGTTAGTGACACTGAATAATGAAGAAATGGAATGAAGGATAACAAGCTAGTTTACTATGTGAGAATTGTAAGAACAAGAGTACTACAGAAGAACTGCCATTTTTTGTCAGCTTCAGTATTAAGGTTTGCAAAGCTAACAGTTACATCACCAGTTCCTGGTTGTCTTAAAATTATCTATCACAGTTCTATTTGGCTCCATTCTGTTTTTCAAAGAGATTTGTTTAGAAAAAGAGATACATATAAAACAAACTATAATAGAAAATTATAACACAGGTTCTCATTTATATCAACTTACCTGTTCAGGATTTGCAATGAAGTTTATGGCAGTGTGATAACGATCATCTTCTTGTAACAGACTGAAGGTAAACTGGTAGTCAATCAGTAAACTATCTGTGAACAAAATATTAAAATGAACAGATGGGATCATATTGAATTCAGAAGTTTCAGATTCATGAAAACTTCAATATAGTTTAGAATGTTTACATTACAGCTAGGGAAATAGTAAGCTTGATCTATAAATCTTCTCATTCTTTAGTGCATTTCTGCTTTCCTGTGCTTAACCCACAAAAAATTAATAAAAATAACACACAATGTTAAAATGCAATGTATACATGATTTATTTATATTTCACATTTTTGAACCACCCATCTCGCTCAACAAATATGTTGACTGTCACATGTTTTCATTACTTTATAATCTGTCAATAATTTTAGTTAGTCATTTCAAATATTAAATCTAATAAATGGTAGAGGACAAGAATGATTTCATTTCCACTCTATAGCCTTCCATTCTATGGAAAGTTTATCCAATTACAATGAAACTTCTGAGGCCCTATAGGGGATGCTTGTTGACCCAGTTTGTTTGATACTAGTTTTCATTGGTCAAAATGTATTGAATATATATATATATATATATATATATATATATATATATATATATACACATATACACATACATATACATATACATATACATATACATATACATATATACTGTTTGTATATGTATATATATATATTCAATATGTATATAGTGTTTTCTTCACTGCACCTGACTTGTCTCTAGTGATTAATTCCTATAACACATTCGGGGTATTCAAAATAGGACCATCAGCACAAAATTTTTACAGTGAAAAGCCATTTAAATATTTATGGTACTAGGTTTAGCAGTAAGCAATATTAGAAAAGGAAAGGGTAATTGAGAGTAATTTTGGTCCCTTAAAGAATATATACTATACTTGGTGGGGCATTATTATGTAATTCATGCATTTGATATAAGACATTTCTAGGCGGTAAGATTTATTTATTTATTTATTTATTTATTTATTTATTTATTTATTTATTTATTAATTATCAGATTTATATACCACCCTTTTCCCGAAGGACTCAGGGCAGTGCACAGCCAAAGTAAAAACATAAATACAAACATTAAAATACAGTTTAAAAGATATATATGTGTTTGGCCCCATAGTTAAAAAACAATAACAAACCTATTAAAAACATTTAAAAATGTGTTAAACCATAGATGCTCACTTGTGTTCCAAATCACTTTTCCCCCTATATTGTTGTAGTATTTATTCTTACTATACTATTGCTCTTTTCAGTTTTTTTGGTCTGGTGATGGCAATAATTCTTAACAATTGTTTTGGCTTTCAGCTATATATCCATCCTTACTATTATTTTTTTCTGTTTCTGGAAAATACTGTAGGATCATTTATCATCATTTCAAGATGTTACCAATATAGTCTATTCCCCAATATAGGGAAGTACTTGCAAGAAAGAAAATATTCATTTACATGGAAATATATTATCTAAATTGGCTACTATTAGAAGTAGTCCTCACTTAGCAACAATTGGAACAACCAACTTTCACTAAGCACTACAGTCACTAAAGAAACGATTTAACTTCTGTGTCCTCATTACTCTTCTTGTCACAAGATGATTGGAAAGTACCAAATAGTGATCACATGACTTCAGGGCACTGCAACAGTCACAGATATGAGCAAACTGGCAATCATGTAAGTCCAGGATGCTGCAATGGTTATAAACATAAAAGATTGATCACAACTGCTTTTTCTACACTACTGTAACTTCAAATGCCCACTAAGTGAATACTACTTGTATACTATAGCTGGTCAGAAAAAGGATAGGGAAGTATTCTCTTATGTAGAAAACAGGAACATTTGAAGTAGAGCATGGATACAGATTCACACTTAATTTTAGCATCAATATATAATGCAAAATCATTTAATTGGCAAAATAACATAGTGCAGTGTAGCAGTTCAGTTTCGGAGCATATTGACAAAAAACCTAGTAGCCATACTTTATATTTTTAAACCTAATATAATTAAAATAATAACAGTAGAGTCCTCCATTAATGCACAATGTCTACGTGCTACTTCTTTGCTGCATATTTTTTAGTAATATCCTACCATTGTCAGTTCCTGGGATAACTTTTATTTCATATACAATATACAAATTTATATACAATAAATATTTATTTCCAAGATTTCTTTTTTTTTTTTTGTCTAAATGTACAGCCTATCAGATTTTAATATAAGACAATTTTACATACCAATCAGCTTTCACTTCTGTAATATAAGCTAGGCAAGCATAACTGACATGTGGTCAAATTTAAGCCATTTGTTCAAAGAGTTAAAAATAATCTTCCTAACACTATCTGCAAGATATTTATTTCAGACTATTAAATATTGAAGCTAAATAAAATTACACATAGTTTTATAAAATAAATTGCAGATAATAATATAGATCTCTATACATGTGTGGCATAGTAATAAATTATATGTAAACATATAATTAACAAGCTTCAGTCCTGGATGAAATTAGAAAAAAATTTACAAGATTTGTAAATCTTGGTGGCACAGCAGACTAAAATGCTGTTAAGTAGCACCAGCTGCCTGCAATTACTGCAAGTTCAAATCTCATCAGGCTCAAGCTTGACTCAGCCTTCCATCCTTTCAAGGTAGGTAAAATGAGGACCCGGATTGTGGGGGCAATAAGTATAAAATTTGTATAAAAAAGAACACCGCTTGGGGGGGGCCGAAAGCCCTACTAAGCAGGTATATACAAAAGTATGAAGGCTATTGCTTAATGCATTGTAAGCTGCTGAGTCTGCGGAGAAGGGCGACATATAAATCGAACCAATAAATAAATAAATAAATAAATAAATAAATAAATAAATAAATAAATAAATAAACAAACAAATAAATAAATAAATAAATAAATAAATAAATAAATAAATCAATCAATCAATCAATCAATTAATTCAGCCTTCCATCCTTCCGAAGTTGGTAAAATGAGGACCAGATTGCTGTACTCTGTAAACTACTTAAAGAGTGCTGTAGAGTCAAAATGCTATTGCTATATACGGGTACTACATTATGTTATTTGGAAACAATTTCTCAATGTAAATTCACCTTTATATGAATGATTTCTGGATTTTAAATTTGCCATTTACAACTAGAAATATTTTTCAAGATCAGATCAGCATTACCATTATCAGTAGGGAATTTCTTTCTTTGCACATCAAATTTTATGAGAGTAAGATAATAAGAATAACAATGGCTGTTTTCTGCAGTGATACATATACAACAGTTATGCAGCAAGGATGGCACCTGCCTTATTTATTACTTCAATGATTGAATCAGATAAAATTAAGATGGTCACATCCCCAAGATATCCACTAGTATCAAAGTAAACAGATCTCTTGCTCTCCTATAGGGTTTAGAAAGATAATGAGTTGTATAGTTCAATACAGAACAGAATGGGCTGATACTTGAATAAATACAAAATCCAAAGACACAGTGTTTGCCAAAAATGCCAAAAGATGGAATGTAGGTGAAAACCCAACAGAACAGGTGTATATTTGATAGTGGTTTTTTTAGCACAAGGGAATCTAGAAGGCTTATTGTTCACATATCAGCATCATAGAATTTTAATCAGAAATCATTTAAATCATTTGGTAAGAACTAAATAATGTTATTTAAACCAAGTGAGATGGGGCATATATTTTGGGAGTCATATAGCGCAAGGGCTGTTTCTGTTCTTTGGATTAGGCTTGAAACAATTTTCCTAAAAAATTCAAAACATTTACCAACTAAGTCATACTGAGCTGTAAAAGGCCTTGCTTATTTCTAATATTCTTCTTTTGTTTTCTAAACACCTGAGGCAAATCCGGATGTCAAAATTTCTGTCTCCTTTGGGTTCTGGAGAAGTCAAAACTGAGGACATTTTCATGAAAGAATACATTTTAAAGAAATCACAAAGGAATTGTGATTTCTGAAAATTCAGGATGCTGAAAATGAACCATAAAACAAATGTGGTAGCCTAAGCTACAGCTATAGCTACATTTCTGACTAGCTATGGACAGCCTATACAATTGGTAATCTTTAAAATATGTTATTTTAATATCCATCATCCTTAAATGGTATGGAAAGCTGGAACACAACACTGCGTTGTTTGAGACAGAAATATATATCCAGATTGTTCCTAAATTCAATTTATTTACTTTCCAATAGTCTGACAATATTTTTGAGTAAAATTATACAAATATGTACTGTCCTAATATTTTTGACCCTATAACTTTATTAAGGTATTTAATTCATAAAGTATTTAGTTATAATGGCATATAACTACATTATATGCCATACTAATCTACAAGATAAATTTTGGTGAATTTATGCATTCTGAAATTTAATTGTTCTACTTGACAATTTTATAAATATTTAAGATAATCATTTTCAGTAGCACATAAAACTTTATTACTTTTAATGCATAAAGTAATTTATTTGGATAATTTTATATATAGTCAAAGTTCTTTATGTTAATTTATAAAAATGTTCAGCATGACAACTATCCCCATATGTTTTTTCCTTTGCACCTTGTATAAACAAATACATTACTTCACACTTGAAACTACATATTACATTTTGCAGTCTTTAAAAATTATAGAACAAGACCAGTCTCATGCTCTTTTGTTTATATAAAAATATTATTATCTATTATGGGTATCAAAGAATTCAATAATTTCTGCTTTTAAATATTGCACACATAATGTAGTCATTTTTGGACATTAGATAGCAAAACCTATTTAAATAAAGATGTAACTATATAATTTCAATATCTTTGCTGAGTTTTTAAAGGAACAATTCCTTTTCTGATCAGTACACAAGATTCTGTGGAAGGTTAATGGGAGTTTTGTGACTGTATACTGTAGGGAATAAACACATTGTTCTAGTCAAAATACTTATAATTATATATGCCTTAACACTTAGCTGCTAAAATGCTTTGCTGTAGCCTCTTAATGCTCAGAAACAAATGGAAAGCAAATCTAACCCTCTAGAGCAGCCACATTATTACTTTATGACTATT